CCACCATCCACCTTGGGGACACCCTTTGCACCCAGAAGACGCAGCTTTCCCCCCTGCAGCCCAGCCCAGGACGCCCATAGGGGGACCGCGGCACCCACCGGGGTGCCCCCCACCCCAGGGTGCCCCCGTACCTTCCTGGGTACCCGCCGGCACCCACAGTGTCCCCTGGGCGCAGGGGCCCGTGGCCACGTTGCCGTACATGGTCCCCGGGGCCACCCCGCCGCCTGGCCCTGCTGATAAGGGCCGGGGACCGGACGGGGTGGTCCCTGCGCGGGGCCCCCGCAGCACCCATGGGCCCCTCCCCTTGCCTGGCGGGGTGCAGGGCCCATGGGTGTAGCTAGGGAAGTGCCTGGTGGGTGCAGGACCCGTGGGAGTCCCCACGGCAGCACCCGTGGGTGCAGGGGACAGGGTGCACCCACAGCAGCACCCAGCGGGTGCAGGACCCATGGGAGCCCTCATAGCAGCACCCATGGGTGCAGGGCTCAGGGTGCACCCACATCAGCACCTAGTGGGTGCAGGGTTCAGGGTGCACCCACAGCAGCACCCATGGGTGCAGGGCTCAGGGCGCACCCACGGCAGCACCCAATGGGTGCAGGACCCACGGGAGCCCCCATAGCAGCACCCAGTGGGTGCTGGACCCACAGGAGCCTCCACAGCAGCACCCATGGGTGCAGGGCTCAGGGTGCACCCACGGCAGCACCCATGGCTGCAGGACCCATGGGAGCCCCCACGACAGCACCCAGCGGGTGCAGGACCCACAGGAGCCCCCACAACAGAACCCAGTGGGTGAAGGGCTCAGGGTGCACCCATAACAGCACCCAGTGGGTGCAGGACCCACGGGAGCCCCCACAGCAGCACCCAGCGGGTGCAGGGCTCAGGGTGCAGCACTGGCCGTGTCTAGGGTGCCCCCACAGCAGCACTGGGTGCCCGTGCTGGGGCTGCACCCACCTCCTGTGGGGTGCAGCGACGGGCTCCCATGGGTGCTGGGCGCCCTGGGTGCACCCACATCCCCACACGCAGAGTGTGGGGGGGTCCCCACTGGGTGCTGGGCCCCAGGGTGGCCCCGGGTGCAGAGGAAGAGGCGGCCGCTATCAGCACCCACCAGCCCCGGGCACCCAAAGGGGGACCGGAACCAACCCCCCCCCACCCCCTGTCACCAAAGCAGGACATGGGTGACACCCAAGCGACACCCACGAGGGTGCCGGGGACCCGCCGCCCTCCTCGGAGCACCCACTTCATGGCAACCAGACGGACACCGGGCGCCTCCTTTTAAATAATATTATTAATAATTAATAATAATAAAAAATATACAGCAATCGCCCCCCTCCCCACCCAAGTCCCCACCCATGGGAGAAGCGGCACCCACTGGGTGCTCGGCCGGGAATGGGACCAGTGCAATGGTGCGGGGGGGGGGGGACACAGGGGGTCCCCGGAGTGTCCCCAATGTTGTCCCCTCCCCCAGCGCGGGGACAGCGGCGCTCGGGGTCCCTGGGGTGCTCAGGGTGCTGGGGGGTCCCGAGCCGGGCTCGCCCGGTGCCGCAGGCTCCTCTCGTCCTCCTGGAGAGAGATGGGAGAGGAGGGGCTGGTGGGGCACCCATGGGTGCCAGATTGAGCCCCAGTCCCCCCCCCCCGGAGCTGGGGGACACATGGGTGACAGTGGGAGCAGGATATAATGCAGCAGCACCCATGGGTGCCAGGCCATCCCTGAGCCATCATAGAGCTGAGGGAGGCAAAAGGTGGCTGAGACCAGGACACAACACAGCACCCATGGGTGCCAGGCTGCCCCCAAGCCCACATGGAGCTGGAGGATACATAGG